CCCCCCCCCCCCAAAACACCAGTCAATAACAGCATCATCTCACCCTCCTCCTGCGAAATCCTACTCAAAAAGTGCCTTCCTGCCACCAAGTAATCTAAGTTTTGTCAGAAGGTTTAAAACCAAACAGGGGAAGAAACAAAAGCAGTCATGAAAAGCAGCACCAGGATATTATGTTATATTATTACATATTATATATGTTATATATTTATCATAATTCACAATGTGATGCCACAACAGGGATTTCTATCAGGGATGGATGGATGCATAAATGAACGGATGGATAGATGAACGAATGGTTGGTTGGATGGATAAATGAACGGATCAATTGATGGATGGATGGATGTATAAATAAATGGATGGATGAATAAATGAATGAATTGATGGATGTATAAAAGAACAAATGAACGAATGGATGGATACATAAAGGAACGGATGGATAGATGAACGAATGGTTGGTTGGATGGATAAATGAACGAATCAAATGATGGATGGATGTATAAATGAATGGATGGATGAATAAATTAATTAATTAATTGATGGATGTATAAATGAACGAATGGATGGATGTATATATGAACAAATGGATGGATGTATAAAAGAATGAATGAATGGATGGATGGATGTGTAAATGAATAGATAGATAGATAGATAGATAGATAGATAGATAGATAGATAGATAGATAGATAGATAGATAGATAGATCTGATTGATTACTATATTCATCCCCATGATTGAGGCTCCGACAGCAGCCGTAACTGCGAAACAAACAAAAATCTCTGGTAAAGAAAATCCCCCTCACCTGCTTCTCCATTTCTTCGCCCCCACCACCCTCGGCATCACCCCCCCCCCCCCCTCCCCCCTGTCCCCCCCCCCCCCCCCCCCCCCCTCCCCCTGTCCCCCCCCCCCGTCCCTCTCTCTCCGTTGATTGACGCGGTGCTTCTCCTCTCTCTCTCTGAAGCCTGTTCGGAGCCCATGTTGCGGGCGAGGGCGAGGCGGGGGGGGGTCCGGGGTAAAATTGTTCCCCCCCAGAGCGCGGCGCCACGCCTGCTCTCTAGGGGCGCAGGCCGCCGCCTGGAGCCAGTCCTCCCAGGTCAGTGCGCTCCGGGGGGAGCAATTAATGACCCGCACGGTGCCGCCGAGTCATGTGGAGGCAGTTCTGGTCCTTAAGGAGCAAATGTAGAGCCGGAGGAGGAGGAAAAGATGGCCGCCTGCATTTACTGGTTCCTTTGAATCGCCATTTTTCATCCCTTTTGATATGGACAGTTTGTTCTCTTTTGTTTTATTTGTCCTCGTGTTTTAAAGCATGGTCGCGAATGCCCTCACTTCGGTGATCTCGGGACACTGATATCGTCAGATTATTTCATTTTCAGAGCCCAAACAGAGACGCCATCGGCCGTGTACGTGCTGACTGTGAACATTGTGGGTCATCTCCATCCCCGTGTGAAGCCTTGTTGCCCCGTCTGTGTGTGTCTGCGGCCGCTGCCCTCCGGAGGCTCCGCCCTCACGCTCTGTCTGTGCCTGTGTGTTGTTCTGCAGGTGAAGGTGGCCGTGCTGAAGTACATCGAGACGCTGACGCTACAGATGGAGGCCCCCGACTTCGTGAACTCCAGCGAGACTCGGCTAGCCGTGTCGCGCATCATCACCTGGACGACGGAGCCCAAGAGCTCGGACGTCAGAAAGGTACCGCCACACGCACACAGAGGCCTTTTAGAGGGGTTTCCTTTGTAATGCTGAGAGATGGGATGAATTCATCATGGTTTATAAGCAGGATGCATAATAAATAGTGTTTTGATGATACAGAGAAGGGAAGAAAGTCTCACATAACTGTGCTCCACATGTTCTGATGCTGCTGCTGCACTAAATAAATTCTATTTCCTTCTCATTCGTTGCTTTTAATTAGTGGATAAATAGATGATAAACCTTAAAGGGCACATATTATGCAAAACCAAGTTTTTAATAATTTGATTATGTACATTTGGGACTGTGGAGGATCTATCAGCAGGCAAAGTGTGAAAAAAAATTACTCGGTTATATTTTGTGGGCTGCCTCAGTCTGAATCCAGGAGATAAATCAGGAGGTTTCAGGAGTGGGTAGTTTCTGACGTCATTAGCTCTAGCTCATTATAATATTCCAGCCTTTCACCTGCATGTTGCCCCCCCCCCTCAGCTTACTCCCCTATCTGTGGCAGACGTCGTGGTAGCGTGAGCGTTAGCATGGTAGCGTTAGCATGGTAGCGTTAGCATGGTGGCGTTAGCGTGCCGACGTGGGCACACCTCCCGGAAGAAGTGGGGGGATTGCCTGTGTCTCATTTGCATTTAAAGAGACAGGCATTCCAAAGCGAGCGCTCTGAACGGGGCTGTTTTGGGTTAGGGTTAGGGTTAGGGTTAGGGTTAGGGTTAGGCAGGGGGACTGAACTGCTATTGGGCTTCATCCTTATGGTATTTTGACCAAAGCTTGTCACAGACATTACATTAGGACACCAGGGAACTAGTTTAACTTGTTGAAATAGGGTATAAAATGTCTCCTTTAAAAGTGGAGTTGGCAGTATTGTGTCTAAAGAGGGTGCTTTGTGTATAACAGGCCGCCCAGTCGGTGCTGATCGCCCTGTTCCAGCTCAACACGCCCGAGTTCACCATGCTGCTCGCAGCTCTGCCCAAAACCTTCCAGGATGGAGCCACCAAGCTGCTTCAGAACCACCTAAAGAACACGGGCAACGCGGCACAGGTGAGGATCCCTTTAAACGGGAAAGAGGGCGGAGCCTCGAACAGGCGAGGGACAGTCTGCTGATGCTCCCTTTCCGTGTGTGTTCAGGCTCAGATGGGCAGCCCTCTGACGCGCCACACGCCCCGCTCCCCGGCCAGCTGGTCCAGCCCCGTCACCTCGCCCACCAACACCTCCCAGAACACCCCGTCACCAAGGTAACCCACGCCGGCCTCACAGGTCCACGCTCATGCAAACCTGGGTTTCCTCTCCCAGAGCAACAGCACCGCTCTGAATGTGAATTAGGGTCGTCACGATATTAAAATCTTCAACTCGATACCGATACTCAGGAAAATATTCGATACACGATACCATTTTCGATAACACAAGGATAAAAACAAAGACCCCAAATTTTTAACTGAATTTCAACAGGTTAGTGTCTTTCGTTTCAAACTGACCTGTTACTGATGTTATTCTGACTGGTGGCCGGTGACCCTAACTTTAACCGTCCACCTTTCATAATTGTGAGAAATAGATATTTTTTGGTTAAAGTTTTTTGGACTTATTGTACAAACTTATTTAACATACACTATTTTAACCTAATATTATGTATAGAGTTTAATTCAGTGTTTGCCAGATTAATTTCACTATTTTTGAATTAATGTCTATATTGCCATGAAGCAATTACGATTTTCTTGCCTGGGATCTTCCTATTGGTGATGTAATCAAAATGGCCGACTTGGATGTGGGGGAGTCGGATATCCATCTTTGGCTTCCTGCAGACTTGATTAATGTTGGCGTGTTATTATTAGCCATTATCCACAGCTAGCAATTCAAGGCTAACGTCATGTTAATGATCAGAAACAACGTAAATAAATAAATAAATTAAAAAGAAGGGGCGCGCGCGGGGGGGTGGGGGGTATCGATACTTTTGAAAATGAGTATTGTATCCGGATTCAACGTTTTAGTATCGATACTCCTTCCCGTCCCAAAAGAAATGTGAACGCCTGCTCTTTTGTCTCTGCAGTGCATTCGACTACGACACAGAAAACATGAACTCCGAGGACATCTACAGTTCCCTGAAAGGCGTCACTGAGGCCATTCAGAACTTCAGCGTTCGCAGCCAGGAGGACATGAACGACCCGCTGCAGCGGCGGGACGGAGAGGAGGTGAGCGGATCGCCCGGGGGGACCTCAGGGCCCTGAACGCCTCACGGCCTGCTGTGCCACACGCCCGGATACATTTCTGTTTAGAAAAGAGGTCGGCTGGAGGGGCATCCATCACCCAGCCTGACGTTTATGTCGTAGCCAACTAAAACACGGAGACCCTCTAAGATCCAGGAGATGGGCTGCTAACACACAAACACAAACATAAAGAGATTCCTAATGTATCAGGGTGAACATTCAAATCCTTCCTCCTCATTTTGACCCAGCATCACAAGCACAAATCCCAAAACTGTCCGATTTCAGAATGTGGAAACAGGATCTGCTGATGCGTTCAGAGTGGGACAGGCTGATACTCAACACTGCGAATACTTTTCATTCTGTTCTCAACAAGTGATCATAATCCTTTTTAGCCTTTCAGCATGTTTTCCAACATTTGACGCACACATGTGCTGTATGTGGCCCTGACATGTGACCCCCCCCCCCCTGCTGTTCCCCTAGCGTGGGAACCGAGAGGCATGCGCACGCCTTTACAGAGTAAACCCAATCCTCTACGAGCACCGAGGAAATCCTGCTCTAATCCGGCCTTAACGGGCACTTCTATCACCAAGAAGTGTGACTTTATTATTCCTCAAGAGCCTGTTCGGTGTAAGACCCCGGCTCCTGTGGCTGGACCTCCCAGTGGCCCCTTTTGGGGACAGGCTGTTCTCTTGTACAGCGGTGGGACCTCCTGACATTTTCCTCTGAAACCCAACCGGCTGGCATGCGGCAGCACACCTGATAACGGCACACGGCTCGTAGTTTTAGTGCTTTGAGTGTAAATATACTCACACACACACAAACAGGGGTCACTTTGGCCTCATCAGCCCGCCGGGCTGCTCACCTGGTGGCTCATTTGTCAGCCTTCAAGAAGTTGTTTTTCTAAGCTACTCGAGAGAAGATCGTGTTGTTGACAAAGAACACTTCTTCCAAAAAGTCCTTGTAGGGTGATTAGTAAAAAAACAATGCAGAAGTGTTTTTAAAAAACTGTTTCTATGTATTTTTTAGCCTCTAGTTTCCTCAAGCCTAAAGCAGGATGTATTATTGTGTCGTAAGGGTATAAAGAGAGTCTATTTTATAGAGGTAACTGATCCCTGGGGGGACTTAGAGGAAGAAAAACTTAGAAATGTAGAATTAGGGGCAGAAGCAGAGCAGAGAGGTTGGAAAGTCAGGATTTGTCCCGTGGAAGAAGGAAGTGGAGGATTTGTTACACAGTATGCTTATTGATGAGGGAGTTGGGTGTAAGTGGACAGAAATGTGGGGGGGATTATTTTTTAACTTTATTTTACGAGCCTCAATCACAGAACTGCACAGGATTATTTTTTACGTTATTGTACGAAATTGTATCCAACTACCGGACTGCTACGGCAACTAAATCTCCCTTCAGGGATGAATATAGTAATCAGTCAGATCTAT